GGTGCTGCTGCTGCTGCTGCTGCTGCTGCTGGTGCTGCTGTTGTTGCTGTTGTTGTTTAATTTTCATTTCTGAAGAATAGTTATTGTTGATCAACCCCGTCGGGTGCAAATTGTTTTTTATCAATTGAAGTGCCTCTCCCGGGCTTCGCACCCTGTTTTTTTACCAGGGAAAGTCCTGAGGCTCAAACTGTGCCCCTGGCCCCCGGGTTGCAACAACAACGGCTCCCGCCGAATACCTCTTCACAATTTAGCCCAAACCCCCGCTCCCGCCTGAGACTTCCTTACATGTTATGCAGGAGTCGCGCTCTCTCTTGGGACTTCCTTACAATATATTCAGGAATCGGTCTCTCGGCCCTCTTGAGTCGCGCTCTCGCTGGAGACTTGTTTGCAATGTATTCAGGAATAGCGCCCTTGCCTTTGAATTTCCAGATATTTGCTCAAGTGCCGCGCCCCCGACACTCAGGCACCCAGGAGTCGCGCTCACGTTTCGGGCTCCCTCGCAGATTATTTAGGAATCGGGATCTCGCTGCCCTTCGTGGCCCCGTTGCACCCCTTCGTGGCCCCCTCGCTGCCCTTCGCTTCCCCGTTGCAGCCCTCTGTGGCCCCCTCGCTGCCCTTCGTGGCTCCATTGCAACCCTTCGTGGCTCCCTCGTTGCCCTTCGTGGCCCCGTTGCACCCCTTCGTGGCCCCCTCGCTGCCCTTCGCTTCCCCGTTGCAGCCCTCTGTGGCCCCCTCGCTGCCATTCGTGGCCCCGTTGCAGCCCTCGGTGGCCCCCTCGCTGCCCTTTCTGGCCCCGTTGCAGCCCCTCGTGGCCCCCTCGCTGCCCTTCGTGGCCCCATTGCAGCCCTTTGTGACCCCCTCGCTGCCCTTCGTGGCCCCGTTGCAGCCCTTCGTGGCCCCCTCGCTGCCCTTCGTGGCCCCGTTGCAGCCCTTGTGGCCCCCTCGCTGCCCTTCGTGGCCCCATATATGTATGCCCTTTGTGGCCCCCGCTCGTTCGCGCCCTTCTTGGCCCCTTCGCTGCCCTTGGTGGCCCCGTTGCTGCCCTCAGTGGCCCCGTCCTTGCCTGCCGGGGCCCAATATGCGTATGCCCTTCGTGGCCCCGCTGTCGCCCTTCGTGGCCCCCTCGCTGTCCTACGTGGCCCAGTTGCTACCCTCAGTGGCCCCGTCGTTGCCTCCTGTGGCCCCGCATTAACTGCCCTTCGTGGCCCCCGCTCGTTCGTGCCCTTCGTGGCCCCATGCGCATTCCCTTCGTGTCCCCGCTGTCGCCCTTCGTGGCCTACTTCGTGCCCTTCGTGGCCCTGCTGTCGTTCTCTCTCTCGCTTTCGGTTTCGCTCGTCGTCGACGTCGTCGTCGACGTCGTCGTCGTCGTCGACGTCGCCGACGTCGTCGTGGTCGGTCCCCTGTCCGTCCCTCTTGGGGTCAGGTTGCCGCCGATCAGCGCTGCCGCTAGCCAGGCCGACGGTCCGCGGCCGCCCCGCCGCTTGCAAGGGCTTGGCCTGCAGGGAAGAAAGGTATACCCCCCCAAATGGGTATGATCGAAGACGAAGAGGGCGGGTACCGAGGGTTGTGGAAATACGCGTCAACGGACACTCGGGCAGGTAAGAGCGAACAGTCTTAACATGATTGTTGTTGTTGTTGTTGTTGTTGTTGTTGTTGCTGTTGTTGTTGTTGATGTTGTTGTTGGTGTCGGTGGTGTTGTTGGTGTTGCTGTTGTTTGTGTTGCTGGCGGTGCTGCTGCGATTGTTGCTGTTGTCGTTGTTGTTGTTGGTGGTGTTGTTGCTGTTGTTGGTGTTGTTGTTGTTGTTGTTGTTGTTGTTGTTGTTATTGTTTGTTGTCGTCCCCCCCGCGACCCACCAGCGACCCACCCCGCGACCCACCCCGCGACCCACTCCGCGACCAACCCCGCGACCCACCCCGCGACTCACCCGCGACCTCACCCGCGACCCACCCGCGACCCATCCCGCGACCCACCCGCGACCCACCCCGCGACCCACCATCGACCCACCCGCGACCCACCCGCGACCAACCCCGCGACCCATCCCGCGACCCACCCCGCGACCCATCCGCGACCCGCCCGCGACCCACCCGCGACCCACTTGCGACCCACCCTCGACCCACCCGCGACCCACCCGCGACACCACCGTGATCGGTCCACATCGATTGAAAGAAAGAATCAGTGCCAGCGGCGGGAACGTTGTCTATTTTGTAAAATTTTGGCGCCTGCGGCGGGCTTCTCCGAGTCTCGCAGACTGCCAATGTCCCCACCGACCCCTCACTCTTATCCGCATCTGCGGGGTCTATATATACACACATACATACACAAACATATATATATATATATATATACATACACATCTATGGATATGGCGCGTACGCACGTGAATGGTATCCCTTTTTCTTTCAGCCTACCTCTTATCAGCGCGAGGGCCCGGTCGGCCTTACTGGTGTCCCTGGGTGCGGTCCGCGGTGCGGATTGTCGCAGGTGTGGACGCAGTCCCGCTCCTGAAGAGTACACCGAGTTCATTTTTAAGTTTTCGAAAGTTCTTTGATGTTTTGGCGGCCAAGATCCTTTCATTTGTAATTGTTATATCCTGGGCCTCTTCCTTGCCACTAGGGGGCCAGGAACAATTAAAAACTAACACAATTAGAAATGAGCACGATTAGGAATGAACGACGTGTATTGTTGTTGATCACCCCTCACCGGTACCCCTTGGCTTTCCGATATTGAAGTGCGCCCCTCGGTTCTCGCACCCTCGGTATTGCCACGGCAAAGGTTCCTGTTCAAAGTCTGTTGTTGCCCCCGATTGCAACAATAGCAGCTTCCACCTTAGGCCTTAGGGGCCCCATTGTTGACAATAGCTTCAGGAAGAGCGCTGTCGCTCGAGACTGCCTTGCAATCTGCTCAAATACCCGCTCTCGCCATAGGCCTCACTCAAATGTACGAAAGAAGTGCGTTCACACCGCTCGGGAATCGGGCTCTTGTCTGATAGGTCTCTACACATTGGTTGATCAAACGCCGCGCTCTCGATGCTTACTGCCTTGCGACTTTCTCCTGCACTAGGCTCTCGCCACTAAGACCTGTCTCCGTAGTTTACGAAGGGATCTTGTTCTCGTTGGCGGTGGTATACCCACCCGCTCGCATGTCTAAGCTCAGCCGCCCCCTGGCAAGGCGGAGGAGGATGAATTCCCTAAAGGAGGCCCGATCGAAGACGAAGATGGCCAGGAGCGAACAGTCGTTGTAATTATTGTCATCGTCGTCGCCCGGCGACCCGCCGCACGACCCACCCGCGCCGCGACGCTTTCGCGACCTACCCGCGACCCGCCCGTGACGCGACCCACCCGCGACACTGCTTCAACCAACTCGGCGCTGGCGGCGGACCGACCAAGCTACACTGCCCTCAAAAGCATGATCGGCGCCCGCGGCGGGCTGCTCACCCTCTGGCCTTGGATGACACTGCACCATCGCCCGCGCGACCCAGCAAAGACGCGCCCTGCGACCCACCACACCGCCTCAACCAGATCGTCGCTTGCGGCGGCGACATGCGGCCCGCGATGGCCGCGACCGTGCCGGTCAATGCCACGACAACAGCGACGTCGGCGGCGGTTGCCACGGCTGCGGCCGCGACGGCCGCGGCTGCCCCAGATGTCAGATCTAGTGTTATCATTTTGCAGCGTGGCTCCCCAGAAGTCTGGGCCCCTTTTCGGAGACCAGCTTTCCAACCAAAGCCGCTTTCTGACGGCCCTTCGGCCCGGCAAGGACCCCAGGAGACCGAGAGTTGTTAAGCATGTTCCGTCCGAGTTCTTGCCACGCTACAAGGAGGTCTGGATTCCAGGCCGTAGCTCGGACCCCCCAGGGCCAATCGCCACGCTCTGAGCGCCCCCCCAAGCGCTCTCGACGTGGCGAAGCTGCTGGAAGGCATCCCGAGGCGAGAGAACCTCGATGAACTGGCGTCCGAGAACGCTCCGTCGTGGATCTCGTTTTTGGCGACGCGAGGATCTCTGGGGCGGCGGCGAGCATACGGTGGGGGTGTGTCTAGCGAGGTTCTGGTCTGGCCCAACAGTCGTAAGTCGGGCCCGTCCCTCTACAGGGGGAATATCCAAAAATAGTCAAACAATAGTCGGGGGACTATTTTCAGAGTATTTTTTTTTGCCACTTTGGAATATGTTCTGAGTATTTTAAATTTTCGTCGAAAATCCCGCTGTAGGGGGACACGCCCGACTTAACAAAAGTCGGATTCCTTTTCAGATCTCCATGGTCAACGTGATGTGGGGAGCCGACCAGGTGTGCTGCACAAGCCTCGTGGTCCGCCCATGCCCGTAATCCCTTACAGTCAGGTCTACTCGTATCGAGTCGCCCAATCTCGCTAATAACTTCCCAGAGGCTCCTACGCAGGGAACTCTCCAAAACAGATCTGCACAGATGGCATAGGGGACCTCCACCACCAACCCCTGGAAGGACGCGTGGGCAGACGAGCGCGCGATTGGCAACCCTTCAGGAACTACGAATAGAGAGACGGACAACGGAACGCCTCACGACTGCGAAGCAGAACATTGAGCGCCAGAGTGTGAAGCAGAAGATGGGCCGTCACATTGATGATCATGATGATTGTGGTGATCATGATCATGATGATGATGGTGGTGATAACGACGATTATCGTGATGACGACGATGACGATGACGACGATGACGCCGACGACGACGACGACGACGACGACGACGACGATGCTGATGATGATGATGATGATGATGATGATGATGATGATGATGATGATGATGATGATGATGATGATGATGTCTCCCTTTCCACTTTCGGACAAACCGCTACGACCAGGCGCTGGCCCCGCAGGGACTCTCCGAGCCCTGGTGTGAGCCCTGCACTGCTCTGCACGGATAGGGTGGGGACCTCCACTCCGACTCGCCTTGACGACGCGAGGGTCTCCGAGGCGGCGGCGGCGAGCAGCCCGGCCGGCCCCCGGCGCCCGGCCGGCGTCCGATGACAGGCCGCCGTGCGCTCGCAGGCTCCCGCCGTGCGCCTGGTGGGCGCGCCGCCGCTGGCGGGCGCGCTGGGCGACCAGCCGGCGGGCGGGGGGCCACCAGCCTGAAGCAGAGCTTTCCAGCAGTGGCGAAGCGTCCTGGCTCGCCTATAGGCCCGCCAAAGAATGTTCTAATAACCTTTTTGTGGTCTGCATGAAGCGTTCTGAGAACATGTCTGGTTGATATTGTCTTGTTGAAACACATCGGGTTTCTGTTCTAAGAGCATTGTTTTTGTTGTTCGAACTTTTTGGGGGTTCTAAGAATACGTCGTGGTAGGCCTATAGGAATGCCGGGACGGTCGGTCTCTGCTCAAATCTTTGCAGTCGGGCACCAACCTCCCGAACAGTTGGGCCAGCGTTTCCTCACCAACCTCTGCAGAGAGCTGGTCCGGGCTCTTGGGCGTGTTCGTCCCTCCAGCCTTGACAGCAGAACTTTGCCCACGGTTGTTGTTAGGACTTCCCGGCAAGTTTGCCCAGACTTCTTAAAGGATTGTTTTCCTGATCGCATGTCCATTTGCATCCCTATGATTGGCATCGTTTTACATTGGTGCCGATCTGAAAGATTATTTCAGGTTCTGAAAGCACGCCCCTAATATTATCATCGTCTTGGGCTTGTCGATCTTAGGGATAGGGATAAGCTCGAGGCTGGTCAGGGGGGACAGGATCTCATCACCTGCGAGCTGCGAGCTCTTCCTCATCTTCCCGGGACTGCCAATCGACGACTCAGGAGGAGAAGCCGGTCCCGAGGCACAGGTCCAGACCTCAGGGTGTCGACGTTGTGAGAACAGAATCGCGGCGCCTTGGCTCTGGGAAGTATCGCAACTTAGCTTTCTGTGGCCCGAAGAAGACACATGCGTAAACTGACGGGTTTCGGAGCTCCGCGTGGTTTTCTTGGATTTGCGCTGGGCCCCCCTGGCGGCGCCTCCCTCCTCCTGCCTCCTGCCTCCTGTCCGAGATGGACCTGTTGGGGCCTGTCTAGGCCCCCGCCTCGGTCTCCTGTTTTTTTCACCCACCTTCGGCTGGCAGCCGTGACACATTTCACAAGTTGATCCGGCAGCCCTGCTCATATCGCACCTTGACCGTGTGTTGCTAGGGGTGCCCCTGGGCCAAGGTGCCCCCAGGATTCTCCGGGTACCTCGAACGGCCTCCAGAGCACCCCTCACGAGGCCCACAGGGCCCCAGGGGCTCCAGCATGGAGCGAAAAGCTGGGGGCACCTTGGGCCAGGGGTACTTCTAGCATTCTAGCAACACCCGGCTGGAGAGTGCTCAGGGTCCAACTTTCGCGTGCGGGCCCAGGCAGGCCGCGGCTTGCCCAGGACGGGAGAGAAGCTCGAACCACGGCACGTGTCTACGCCGCGTCGTTCTTACCTCCTCCCTCCTTCGTGGGCCCAGAAATATACACCACCACCACCTCCCTCCCCCCCTCCCTCTCGCTGGAAAGAGGAGAGGAAGAGGAGGGTAGAGGAGGGAGGAGAAATCGACGTGGTGGTGGTGTATATTCTTGGGGCCCCCCAACGTGCCTGGCGACCAGCTGGCGGGCGAGGGGAGGGTCATCAGTGCGAGGCCGAATGCTGTTGCATACAGTGCTGGAGGATCGTCAGTCGGACGTTGCGTAACGGCGTGGCGATAAACGAGGAGGCGAAGAAGCGTCCATCTTTCATCAAAGCGTCGGGCCCCAGGAGGGGTCCCCTGAGGAGGCCCAGAAGGGGCACGAGAAGTGTACGTCTCTTGGTCGCCTCATTTACCGATCCTCCAGGAAGTAATGTCCAACATCAGTGCGATGCAGTTTTCTACACGTCCACCGCTCGTCGAGAAAGCGCTGACATAGATTTACGGCTAGTGGATTGGCGACGGGTCCCGCTTCCGTGCAACACCGGTGTTCGATCGCCAAATAGGGCGGCATTGGCTCGTGTTTCAGAGGGGGGGGGGGCCTTCCCAGACCCGTGGATCCCTTACGGTGGGGGCGTTCGTTAAGGAATGTGCCCAGGGGGCTTCAGACCCTGGAGGATTCCTTATCTAAGAAGGGCGGTGGTGATATCCATGGCCAATTCACGATCGAAGTTCCACTGGCTTCGAGACCCTGGGTTCCTTATCCATTGCTTCCTTCTCCAATGCCCCCCACCGTATCCACGTGAGCGTGCGTCCGGAGCTTTGGGGAGCAGCCCTCTCAACCAGGACGTCTCGAACAAGGCCTTTGGAGAATCCCGTCTGGCGGGAGCGACAGCATACTATAATGGAGAACGTTTCGATTCGCAGCTGCAGTTGCCCGTGCGTGATCAACGTCCTAGTTTAAGTTCGGTTCGAGGCTCGAGAGCTTCGAGGATCCAGAGTCGCGGATCGAGAGTCGAGGTTCAAGGTTCGAGAGTCGAGGTTCGAGGATAGAGGTTCGAGGATCGAGGATCGAAGACCGCCGTGGTGACCAGCCGACTGGCGGAGGGGGTGGGGTCATCAGTTGCGCTCTCCTCCCTTCTCCTCCTGCCTCCTCCCTCTTTCCTCCTCGTCCTCCTTCCTCCTTCTGATCATCCCCACTGGTTTCCTCCCCCCTCCTCCCCCCCGCCTCTTCCTGCCTCCTCCTCCCCACTCCTCGACCCTCTCTCCTCCTCGTCCTCTCCCTCCCCCTCCACTCCTGCCTCCTCCTTCCTTTTTGTTCCCGCTCCTCTTTCCTCCTCTGCCCCTTCCCTTGGCCTGCCCCGCGCTTGGCGACCAGCCAGCGGGAGGTCCGAGGCACGAGGCTCGAGACTCGAGGGTCGTGGCCCGAGGGTCGATCCAGACGTCCGGCGCTTCCAGAAAAGACGAGGCGGCCAAGCTGTCGCCCATGGCGGCACCTCCTCCTCCTCCTCCTCCTTCTCCTCCTCCTCCTCCTCCTCCTCCTCCTCCTCCTCCTCCCCTCCTCCTCCTCCTCTCCCCCTCCTCCTCCCTCCTCCTCCTCCTCCTCCTCCTTCTCTCCTCCTCCTCCTCCCTCCTCCTTCTCCTCCTCCTCCCCTCTCCCTCCTCCTCCTCCGCCTCCTCCTACTCCTCCCTCCTCATCCTCCTCCTCCTCCTCCTCCTCCTCCCTCCTCCTCCTCCTCCTCCTCCCCCTCCTCCTCCCCCTCCTCCCCCTCTTCCTCTTCCTCCTCCTCCTCCTCCTCATCCTCATCCTCCTCCTCGGACCCCTGGGGCCACGGAAAAGAAGTCAGGGTGAGAAGCGGCCACGGGGGCAGCGCGAGAGGTTTGGGGCCCACGCGTCAGCAAGATCGCAGCGCCAAATGTCGGGGCCCCTCGTTGCTTGGCAGACAGTCGGGCCGCTGAATAAGGAACACTTACTTTTCAAACGAGGCTCGGGCACTCATTAGGTTCGCATGCGTTCGGCTTTTTTGGGGCGGCGAGCCCCCCCCCCCAGTGTCCCTTCGGACTTCATGGCCTTCTTTGGAAAAAGGGACCTCGTTCCTTATTTGTCGTTCCTTGGGTCGGCGGCCCGACTGTATCTTGGTCGCGCGCGATGCTTCTTCAGGCCTTGGCGCGGTCCAGCTGCCAGCTTCTAGGCCACCCTTCTCCCTGATGTCGGCTGTGACGAAGAGGCTCCAGAGCTTTTCGGAACGCCATCGGCGCCCGATTCAACATCCGGACCCGCCGGCACTGTTTTCCTGCCGTCGTCGTGCCCGAGACCATATGAAAACGTCCCTGAAAGCCCTTCAGCACCCCCTCCCTCTTCCTTCCCCCCGTCTCTCTTGAGGGTATTTCTGGAAGTCTTCGAGAATCCTTGAACGTTGCCTTCCTCCCCCACGCAGTGGGACATGGCGAGGAGGATGAAGAGGACGCGCAGGGACAGTAGGAGGAGGAAGAGGAGGAGGAGGAGCCAGAGAAAGAGCCGGAGGATGAGCTGTGGAATGAGGATGAGCTGGAGGAGGAGGAAGACAAGGATGGATTCGAAAGAGAGAGGGAGAGAGGAGGAGGGGGACGATCAGGAGGAGTCTCATACCGCCTTTGCACGGCGATTTCGATTTAGGCTCTGGTTACACTCCTTACGTCCTGCATTTTCTGTCTCAGCACCATCGTGGATTAGGGGGGATCGGGATGACGAATGAGTAGGAGCAGCAGCAGGTGAGAGGGCAAAAGGGGGAGGAGGAAGAAGGTGGAGAGTGAAATTGGAGGACGAGGAAGAGGAAAGGGGGAGGAAGGAAGGAGGAAGGAAGAGGATCCCTCCGACCATAGCACCACAACAGCATGAACATTAACATTACCAACAGCAACAACAACGCCAATCATGTTAAGGCTGTTCGTCTTATCTGCGCACGTGCCATTCAGCACTTATGCCCAAAACCCTCGATACCCACTCTCTTCGTCTTCGATCGTACCCCTATCAGGGTAGATCTGTCTTACCTGCAACGTTTATTTCGTGCAGCCCCTAAGGCAGGGGAAGAGAGGACAGATGGAAGGAAGGGGCGAGGGGGAGGGAGGAGGATGGAACACGAGAGAGAGAGTACGTAGCAGGAGGGGGGCCAGGAGCAGAAAACACCTGGCAGAACCAGACGGGCCGATCGGGCGGGTAGAGCCTAACGGGCGGGTCGGGAAGGCGGGCCCAGGCGGACAGGTCGAGCAGGCGGGTTGCTGAAGCGTGCGTCCTGCATGGATCGCGAAGGAGTCTCGAGCGACAGCGCGATTCCCAACTAAATCGTGAGAAATCTGCAGCGACAGCGTGATTTCTAAGTGTAAAGGGCACGGCGTCTGAATCAATTGCGAGGCAGTCCCACGCGAGAGCGCGATTCCTGTATACATTGTGAGGAGGTCCCGCGCGAGCGCGCGATTTGGGAGTACATTTTGGGGAAGTGGTAGGCGGGAGCCGCTGTTGCTGTAAACCGGGGGCCGGCAACACAGTTTGGTGACTCCTCACTGCCCCTTGTAAAAAGCAGGGCGCGGTCCCTGGGAAGGGTACTTCAATAGAAAACAGCAGTTAAGACATGAACAGAGAACAAACTCTACAACAGCAGTATCATACACAACAACAACAACAACAACAACAACAACAACAACAACAACAATCATTTTAAAACTGTTCGCCCTTCTTTGCTCGAGCGTCCAATAACGCGTATTCCCCAAACCCTCGATACCCACCCGCCCTCTTCGTCTTTGATCCAACCCCTTTGGGGGGGTATTCCTTTCTTTCCCTGCAGCCCGGGCCCCGGCAAGCGGCGGGGCGGCCGCGGACAGTCGGCCTGGCCAGCGGCAGCGCTGATCGGCGGGGCGGCCGCGGACCGTCGACCCGACCCCAAGAGGGACGAACAGGGGACCGACCACGACGACGACGTCGACGACGACAACGACGACGACGACGACGACGACGACGACGACGGCGACGACGACGACGAGCGAAAGCGAGGGCGAGAGAGAACGACAGCCGGGCCACGAAGGACACGAAGTAGGCCACGAAAGGCGACAGCGGGGACACGAAGGGAATGCGTATGGGGCCACGAAGAGCGCGAACGAGCGGGGGCCACGAAGGGCAGATAATGCGGGGCCACAGGAGGCAACGATGGGGCCAGTGAGGGTAGTAACTGGGCCACGTAGGACAGTGAGGGGGCCACAAACGGCGACAGCGGGGCCACGAAGGGCATGCACATGGGGCCACGAAGAGCGCGAACGAGCGGGGGCCACGAAGGGCATGCACATATCGGGCCGCGGAGTGCAACGGCGGGGCCACGAAGGGCAGCAACGGGGCCACGAAGGGCAGCGAGGAGGCCACGAAGGGCGACAGCGGGGCCACGAAGAACATGCATATGGGGCCACCACGGGCGCGAACGAGCGGGGGCCACGAACGGCATACATATATGGGTCCACGAAGGGCAGCGAGGGGGGCACGACGGCCTGCAACGGGACCACGAAAGGCAGCGAGGGGGCCACGAAGGGCTGCAACGGGGCCAGGACCAGCGACGGGGCCACGAAGGGCAGCGAGGGGGCCACGAAGTGCTGCAACGGGACCACGAAGGGCAGTGAGGGGGCCACGAAAGGCTGCAACAGGGCCACGAAGGGCAGCGAGGGGGCCACGAAGGGCTGCAACGGGTCCACGAAGGGCAGCAAGGGGGCCACGAAGGGCTGCAATGGGGCCACGAAGGGCAGCGAGATCCCGATTCCTAAGTAATCTGTGAGGGAGTCCTAAGCGTGAGCGCGACTCCTGGGTGCCTGAGTGTCCGGAATGCGGCGCTTGAGTAAAGTGTTGGAAATTCCAACGCAAATCTGCTATTCGTAAGTAAATTACAAGCAAATCTTCAGGGAGAGCGCGACCCCAGAGCGACGAGAGAGCGATTTCTGAATAAATTTGAGGAGGTCCCAAGCGAGAGCGCGATTCCTGCATCAAATGCAAGGAGTTCTCAGGCGGGAGGGGGGGGCCCGGCTAAATTGTGAGGAAATCTCAGTCCGGAGCCGTTGTTGTTGTTGTAACCTGGGGGCCAGGGGCACAGTTTGATCTTCAAGAATTTCCCTTGAAAAGAAAAACCAGGGTGCGAGCGCCAGGAGGGGCATTTCAATTGAAAAAATGAGACGCGCACCGGAGGGGGGACCAACAATAGTTATTCTGCAGTAGTGAAAGTTGAACAACACCATCAACAGCATCATCAGCAACAGCGACAGGTCGAACAGGCGGGTTGCTGAAGCGTGCGTCCTGCATGGATCGCGAAGGATTCTCGAACGACAGCGCGATTCCCACATACATCGTGCGGAAATTCACAGCGCAAACTTGACTCCTGACTGTCGAGGGCGTGGCGTTTCAATGCGTTGCGAGGAAGTCCCACGCGAGAGCGCGATCCCTGCATACATTGTGAGGAAGTCCCGCGCGAGGGCGCGGTTTGGGAATATATTGCGAGGAAGTATTAGGTGGGGGCGAGGCTCAAGCCTTTCCTTGAGAAGCAACAGGGTACGAGCCTGGGGACAAGCACTTCATTTGAAGAACACAATGTACCCCGGAAGGGGGGGGGAATAATACAACGTAGTATCTAGAAGTGAGAACTCAACAACGAGAGCACCAACAACACCAATAACAACAATTAGTTTGAAACTGTGCGCTCTCATCTGCTAGCGTGTCGCTCAACACGTAAAACACCAGAATATTCGATATCCGCCTTTTTGTTTTTGATCGTATCCCCTTTGGGGTATGTATTTTTCTTACCTGCGACCTTTCTTTCGTGAAACCCCTGAGGCAGGGGAGGAGAGGACGGATGGAAAGGAAAAGACAAGGGAGAAGGAGGAGGTTAATACGAGTGAAAGAGAGAGTAGCAGGAAACGGTATAGGAGCACAAGAAACACGTGACAGAACCTGACGGGCAGATCGGGCAAGTAGACCCTGGCGGGCGGGTCGGGAAGCCGGGTCCAAGTGGCCAGGTCGAGCAGGCCGGTTGCTGAAGCGTGCGCCCTGCATGAACCGCGAGGGCGTCTCGAGCGATAGCGCGATTCCCAACTAAATCGTGAGGACTTCCATAGCGGGAGCGCGATTCTTGAGTGTGGATGGCGCGGCGTCTGAATATATTACGAGGAGGTCCCACGCGAGAGCGCGACTCCTGGATGCATTGTGCGGAAGTCCCGCGCGAGAGCGCGTTTTGGGAATACATTGTGAGGAGGTATTCGGCGGGAGCCGCTGTTGTTGTAAACCGGGGGCCAACAACGGAAGTCTCAGACCCATGATTCTCCCTGATAAAAAACAAGGCGTTAGCCCCGGGAGAACCATGTCAATTGAAAAATACAATGTGCCCCAGAGGAGGGGTGGCATCAACAATAATTATTGTCGATCATGACAGTTCAACAACAGCAACAACAACGACAACACCAACACCAACACCAACAGCAGCACTACCAACACCACCACCACCACCAACAACAACACACATCAACAGCAATGGGAACAACAACAGCAACAGCAGCAACACCACCAACAACCACAACAGCAACAGCACCACCACTACCACCACCAATCACAGCAACAACACTAGAAACAACAATTTTCAAATTTTCATCACCAACAACAACCACAACAACAGAACACAGGGAGGAAGGAGGAGAAGAAAGAGGGATGAGGAAGAGGGAGTAGGGATGAGGAGCAGGAGGGAGAGGCAGGATGGAGGCGCGATGGGGAGGAGGAAGGAGGGAAAGTAAAGGTTAGAGGGGGTGGGATAAGGAGGGGAATGGGGGGCAGGCGCCGACAAGTCCACGGGATCCATCCGCCGTGCCCCCTCCCCCCCCCCCCTCCTCCAAGCACAGGTGGACCAGTCCATAGAGGCGAGCCCGCCGCCTGCCACGCCCGTCCGCACCTGCGCGACAGACGGAGGCCCGTCCGCATGGCGCCGACGACGACGACGGCGAGGGCGACGGCGATGGCGACGGTGACGGCGACGGCGGCGGCGGCGACGACGACGACGGCGACGACGACGATGACGACTAAGTCGATGAAGACGGCGACGACGCCGCCGCCGCCGACGACGACGACGACGACGACGAGACGACGACGACGATGAAGTCGACGACGACGACGTCGACGACGCTGTCGGCGCGACGATGACAACGACGACGACGATGTCGACGACGACGGCGACATCGACGACGTCGATGACGACGGCGAAAACGACCACGGAGGCGGCGGCGGCGGCGGCGACGAAGATGACGGCGATGGCGACAGCGAGGACGTCCTTGACATTCTCGCGCCGTGGGAAAACGCGAGAGAGGGCAGTGGGCAATGTTCGGGTTCCAGGGTCTCTTGCCTGTCCCTTTGCAGCCCTGCGAGCGTGGAGGATCTGGATGGGTACCTTGATCTTTCTCCCTTCGGCAGCCCAGTCGTGAACCCCGCATTCCTAACAACTGCCGGACGGACCATTCCCAAACTTGTTTTATCGCTAGAGGGGTCACAGTTTGGGCTGACCCCCGTCCTTGAAAAGAAGCCGGTGGAAGGCCCACGGAGTCATAAGCACCCGGAATATGAGGAGTCGCAGCGGGCAGGCGCAGGAAGAGGAGAGCAGGCTTTGCAGGAGCAGCAGCAAGAGGGCGGATGAGGAACAACAGCAACAGGATGGAAGTGGAGCAGGAAAAGGAGAAGGATTAACAGGAGCCGGCAACCGAAGCAGGAACAAGAGAGGAGGAGGAACAGCAGGAGAAGGAGGAGGAGGAAGACGAGAGATTGGCAGGACGAGGTGGATGTCGGAGGGGAGGCGGAGAACTAGGATGAGGAGGCGGCCAGGGGAGTTCTTTGGCCGCGGCCTCATTCACCAACACATTTTAGCATGTATTTGCGCTTGGGCCCGCCGCCTCCGCCTCCATCCTTCCCGTCCCTCCTCCCAATTCCTCGCCCCCCCCAGTCATCCCTAGTACCTCCCCGCTTTTTCCCCTGCCCCCTAAATCCCCTCCACCTATCCATCATTCCCCCACCCCTCCCCTCGTCCCCCTTGCAATCATTTCTTCGCATCCCACTCCATGTGTTCCCCTACACCTCTTTCCATCCCTGGCCTCCCCCCATCCCTCTTCCCTTTACCCTGTCGCTCAAGTTCTTCCTTTCTGCCCGTCCGTCTTCCTTCCTCATCCTTCCTCTGCCCTCGTCGCCCTCTCTACCGCTCCCTCCCTGATTCCCGAATATACTGCCCCCGCGTTGCAGGCGGCGCAGCAGGTACTGTGTCTCCTTGACTCCTCTTTTTTTGTAGCCTCTCTCTCTCTCTCTCTTCCGCTTCGATGGCATTTTTTTGTCGCATCCCGAGGCTGGTCGAAAAGGCGGGCCGGGCGTTTCGATTGAGACCTCCCCAATACTTATGACCTTGATGCTTAAACCATGGTCAACAGCTTCACAGACGGAGGGCGGGTCGCTTCCAAAATGTAGCTCTCGCCTTCGCGTCGCGCGCATTCGCCTCGAACTTGTGCAAGAGCTTCGCGGAATAAGGGCGGGTGATTTACAACATGTGGTTCTCGCCTTGGCGCCGCGCACATTCGTTGCAAACGATTGCAGGAGCTTCACGGGTTTAGGGCGGGTCGTTTTCACTTTGTGGTATTAGATTTAGCGCCGCGTGCATTCGTTTCCACATTTGCAAGAATTTCACGGGTTCTGGGCGTTTTCAAAATGTTGTTCTCGACTTAGTGCCGCGCACATCCGTCAACAAACCATTTCATGGATTCAGGGCGGCTGTTCTTCAAAATGCGGTTCTCGGCCTAGCGCTGCGCGCATTCTCTGCAAAAGAATACAATATATTCACGGAACGGGGGCGGCTCGTTTTCAAAACGTGGCTTCGCGTTTGTAGCGCCGCGCACATTCGTTTGAACAGTTGCGAAAAACACGGATTCAGGGCGGGTTGTTTTCAAACTGTTGTTCTCGTTGTGGCGCCGCGCACATGTTCCGTAAATGATTGCAAGATCTTCACGGCTTCAGGGCGGGTCGTTTCCAAGATGGGGTTCTTGCTTTAGCGCCGCGCACATGTGTTTTGAACACTTGCAAGAGGAGCTTCACGGATTCAGGGCGGGTCGTTTTCAACATGTGGCTTTCGCGTTTTTAGCGCCGCGCACATTCGCTTTTAAATCATTGGCTCTTATGGCGAAGTATCATAAATGGTGGTTTGGAGCGACTCAAGACTGGCAGGGCGCAACAGTTTCGTTGATTCGCAGTGTTGAATTCCCAGGGTTTTTCTGGCACGAGTCATGATCGCCAAGACGCTCGGATTCCGTCTCCGCGCTCACAGCGGTCAGAGCGCCCGCTCGGGTTCCATCTCCGGCTTGGCATATTTACAATGTGTGAATCAGGCGATACGGGCCGTCTGTGATCGCATGCAACGGGGAGACGTGACCGCGCGGCAGCGGGTGGACCAGGAGGACCACGTGGGCCACACGATGCGTTTCATCAGGGCCGCAGAGCGGAGCAGCGTGGGGGTAATGAGGAAATGCATTGCTCGTTTCCCTCGGTTGGGTTCGCTGGTGGCCATGCCGCTTACGCTGGCCGGACAGCGGGGCGCGGCGTTGCAGCCATACCGCAGCCTAGCGGCGGAGCTGGCCCGCTCCGCAGCAATCGATCTTTTGACCGAGTTGGCTGCCCAGCAGGCCGCTCCCCCCGCAGGGGAGCTCAGCGCCCAGAGGGGTTGTATCCATGGACTGTTGCAGCAGCGTCTTGCCCCTGGGCGCTCAGCGGACTTGTCGGCGGTGGTGGACTCGCACGGCGAGGTGCTCACCGACCCGGCCGAGATGGCAGAAACTCTCCTTAAACACTGGAAGGACGTCTTTTCCCACCGGCTCGTGGATTGCCAACTCCTGGACAATTGGCTCGCCCGACGACGCGCCACCGCCCATGCCGCAGCACGACGACGAGGCGTGGCAACTGCGACGCAGCCAACTGGAAGCGGCTGGAGGGAAATCTACGAACTCAGCTCTTGGCCCCGACGGTGTCCCGTTTTCGGCTTGGAGACAGCTCGGCCCGCTGGCAACGGATGAGTTATGGGGAGCGCTACAGGCGCTGACGTCGGAGGAGCCCCCAGGTGATTTCGAAGAGCGTCTATGCGGCTCCGACGCCAGTCTCATGGTGTTCCTCCCGAAGGGTAACGGGCTACTCCCAGACGGTCGCACAGGTCATTCGCCCGGGAACACGCGCCCCTTGAACATCGCCAACACCGACAACACGTTGATGGCGAACGCGGCGAAGCCATGCGCAGAGGGGCCGCTGTCCGAGGCGATCTCCTTGGACCAGCGAGGTTTCGTCCCGGGGCGCTCGATGCTTTCGAACGTGGTCGACGTGGACGAGGCAATGATGATAGCAGCTCTCTCGCGCGAGCGCGGGGCCGCCTGGTTCTTCGACTTCCAGGCGGCGTTCCCCAGCGTCGTGCACGTATTCTTGCACTCCGCGTTGTGGGCAGCCGGCCTACCAAAATGGCTTCTACGATTCGTCACTCATCTCCACGAGCACAACCGGTGCACCATGGTGGTGGGAGGGCAGCTGCACGAGTGTTTCACGTCGCATACGGGCATTCGTCAAAGGTGCCTGCTGTCGCCGATTCTATTCGCCGTGGCCGTGGACGTCTTGCCACGACGTTTGCATGCCGCGGTGCCAGGGATTATCCTGCGGGCGCTCGCCGACGACATTGCAGCAGTCGTCCCCGACATCAACGACGCGGCGCCGTTTTTGAATTCGGTATTCCACGATTTCGGCAGGCTCTCTTGCCTACGTGTCAATCATCCCAAGACCGTGTTCGTGCCGCTCTTCTTGTGTGATCATTCAGCACTTCTTCAGCATCTGCTTCGAACACAACCAGGACGGGGAGGGCTGCAGGTGACCGATCGCGCAAAATATTTGCGCTTTGTGTTAGGCCCAGGACGGGGGCACAAGTCGTACGACAAGGCGCTTGGGAAGGTCCTGGATCGAGCTGCTGCGTGGGGGGAGGCAGGAGGCGGCCTGTTCGCCGCGGCCGTCGCGCACGCCGTCTACATTGCCCTTCTCGTTGAGTGTCTCATGCAGCTGGACGGCCTGCCGCCGCAGTGGCCCGACGTCGAGGCCAAGGCTTCTCCCTCTTGGTCCCAGGCTCAGTGGTCTTGCCCTCGCGATCTTCAGCACATTGACCTGCTCGGCTTTCCGAAACCTTTTGGCGGCATGGGCGTCAAGCAGTTGGCTGCCCAGTTGCGGGCCTACCACTTGGAAGCGGCAAGCCCCGGGGGACAGCAGGTGCGCCCGAGGGCAGAACACTTGCGGCGTGCCATGCGTGATTCCGGCCACGTCGTGATAGCAGGGCGCTGGGCGGATTGGTTCGGCCGGGAATTCTTACTGCAATTGGACGCTCCGGCTGCGCGTTTTCGAGGACACGGCGTCACCCAGCAGACAGTGGAGCACGCCATCTTGCGGACTCGCGACGGCGACCTCACATGTTAAACCAGACGATCCTCATCAAGACTTCATTCCAGCGCGTTGTCGCTTCCCTTGCTGCCACGGGCCACTGTCCTGGACCTCGAGATACGGTTTCGTCACAGGCTGGAGAGGTGGCGGGTGCCTCAGTTGCCCCGGGATCGAGTGGCAAACCGTCTCGCGCATTTGACGACATTGCGCGGGCGCGCCCTTCCCAGAGTTTTGGCGGCCACGTGGCGAACCCTATGGAATGGATGGGCCACTTCCCGACGCATGCAAGATCGGCGTGGCGTCGGCGGCTGCGTGTTTCGATGCTCGGTGACGGCCTCTGACTCCATTGAGCAGTACTCCAGCTGTTCATACCTGCGCGCCGTGACGGACACGCTGCTCAACCTGCCGCGGGCCGCTACACCGGATGGCTGTCTGGCTGCGGCTTTGGAATTGGACTTCCGCGACGGCGACGACACGGCCGTGGCTGTTCGAGTGGCCATTCGCGCGGCAGCAGCGCATCGCGCTCAATGCTTGCGCCGCCACGGGCAGCCCGCGTCAGGCCCAGCCGCTGGCGAAGCCTTGCGCCAGGCTTGCAGGGAAATGGTTCGCGCCCCCCCCCCCCCCCCCAGTCCTGAGCGTATCTACGATGCAGCGCGCGTTTGGAACTGACGGCATCGCACGACATGGCTGCGGCTTTCTGCGACTTGTTCCTCACCTTCGACTATCACATGTTGTTTTCTTCTGATCATCATCGTTATTCGCAGATTTATTTGGCATCTCAAAGCGATAGCTTCACGCCCTCCACCTCGCCTCCTTCACCCGCGCAACACGCCAGATACCGCGAGCAGCACGACGTCTAGAAGGACCAGCGCGATGGGTACCAGGAACACGGGCACGCGACGCAGCACCAACGCATCGGGCATCGCGACGCTCTCCACCGCGATGTGAATTGGAAGCTCCACGGGCAGCAACACCAGCGCATCCACAATCACCACCATTATCATCACCATCTCGACGACCTTTTGCATCACGCCGATCATGGGTATTCCACATTGACCACATCGAGCATGTGCAGAACCACGTGTGTGACCAGCACCTCCACCCTGTCCATGTTCAGCATGTGCAAACCCTCAATCATGACCATCACCACCAGGGTGACCACATCAAGCATTTGCAGCACCACGTTTGTGACCAGCACCTCGCCCGAACCACATTCAGCATGTGCGAACCCACAACCGTGACCAGCATCACCTGGGCGACCACATCCAGCATTTGCCAGCTCCCTCATCGACCAGCTCACCGACTCCTGCACCGACCAGATGGCGGCCTGCCGCTCCGACCACCTTGCCTGCTCACTCATCGGCCAGCTCACCTTCTGCCGCACCAACCAGATCGCGACCAGCCAGTCCGACCACCTTGCTGGCTCCCTCATCGGCCAGCTCACCGACTTCCGCACTGACCAGATCGCGGCCTGTCGCACCGACCAGCTTGCCGGCTCCCTCGTCGACCAGCCTGCCGACTCCGGTGCCGACCAGTTCTCCGTTTCCCGCACCGACCAGGGCACCGACTCCCGCTCCGAACAGCTCACCAACTCCTGCGCCGACCAGTTCACGCCTCCCGCATCGACCAGCTCACCGTCTCACACCGACCCACGGCTGTGAGTGGCAATCACGGCGGCGAAAGCGCCCCTACGGCCTTCACGCCCGCTGACCTCCACCTGCCCATGCCACGTTTCCCAAGGCCGACCGCAACTGCGACAACGCTCAGATCCACGAGTGCGGCCTCGAGCACGACCACGAGTACGACCACGGTCGCGACCACTTGCACGATCGCCGTTATGGCCGCGATCACGACGACGATTACGGTCCAGAAAAGCGCAACGAAAATGTAACGAATTTCGGCCCGTCCGTTATTCTACAAAGTTGATACAACACAGTTGTAGCAAATACCAACACAGAGCGGAGGCGGACAAATCCTGCCCCCTTCACACGATCATCAACATCATCAACGGCAGCATCGACACCAGCATCGATACCAGCATCTGCATTCGCCAGCGCCTGCACAAGCGCTGACGCCAGCATTGGCACCAGCGCGAACGCTGGCGCCTGCGCCGGCACCAGCGCCAGTGCATACACCAGCACCGACGACAGACCGCAGTACACCGGTTGGCTGCCCAGCTAACTTGCGCGCACAGGCGCTAGCATCAACGACTACTCCTACGACGACACCAACGCCAGCGCCCACACCAGCGCCGGTGTCAGCCACTGCGCCAGCACCAACGGCGACGCCTGTATCAGCACCACCGCCAGGCTGCAGCACACTGGCTAGCTGACCAGCTACCCGTTGCGCAAACTATCTGGCGCGCCCTTGGGTTCTAGTTTGTTGCGCCGTGTTGGGGCCATATGAAGGCCCACGGAGAAAATAGATTAGATCGCACCCCGCTGGTCGGGCCGACATTGGGCCGCAGCTAAGTGGCCAGAGCTCGGGGGACAAATCCTGCCCCCCCTCCAACCAAGGCACATCGACATGTCACTGAGACGGCACGTGTGCGCACCAGCGCTAGCACCAACACCAGCGCCTTCGCTAGCTTCGACGCCAGCTCCGACGCCAGCACAATCGCCGGCGCCTGCGCCAGCGCGGACGCCAGCACCGACGCCAGCATGAACGCTTGCGATTGCGCTGGCACCGACGCCAGCGCCTACACCAGCGCCGACGCCATCACTGACGCCAGCACGAACGCTGGCGCCTGCGCCGACACCAACGCCAGCACCTACAGCAGCGCCTATGTCATCACCGATGCTTACACCAGCACCGACGCCAGCACCGACGCCAGCATGAACGCCTGCGATGGCGCCAGCACCAGCTCCAGCGCCGACGCCATCGCCGACGCCAGCACTGACGTCAGCTCGGATGCCGGCGCGTGCGCTGGCACCGGAGCCAGCGCCTATGCAGCACCGACGTCATCACGGACGCCAGTACCAACGCCGACGCCTCCAGCAGCACCAACGCCAGCACCGACCCCAGCATGAGAGCCTGTGATAGCGCCGGCACCAATGCCAGCGCCGACGCCAGCACCGACGCCAGCACGTACGCCGGCGCCTGTGCCGGCACCTACGCCAGCGCCTACACCAGCACCGATGCACTACGGGCTACTCCTGCTTGCCGATCGACTTTGGGCGGCTCGACGGGTGCCAGCTGCACGACCTGGAGCAGTACGGGTTCAGGTTGTAGGTCTGAGGCGGGACTCGCACTGTTGGTCCAGGCAGGCCAGACGAAGGGTTCCAGGCTACTTGGCGGCTGGGGGCCGGGACGCTCAGCGCGAGCATTCAGTTGCCCCCATCTCCCTCTTAGTTCTTTCCGTTTTCGTTGCTCTCTCCTCCCTCCCTTGCTCTTTTCTTCCAATTGGTGCTGTGGCACTGCTTGCACATTGGCCGAGGCCGCTTCCTCGCCCAGCGCTGCCCGACCCTGCGGGCCGCCCTGATTCGTGGGCCCGCCTCAGGCTTGCACAGTGGTTTCGGCGGGGCTTGGTCTCTCCATGGCCGCCTTAGAACATCTTGATTCTGCCGTGTGCTTCGCACCCAGATTTCTAGCAGTGCTATATGCCATCCGTGCTCGCGGGCATGCCAGGCGCGTCATTTTAGTTTTTGTGCGTGTTTGCTGTTGCGTTTCTCTCGATAGTTCTCTCTGCTTCTGGCCCATCCCTTCTTGTTTCTCCGCCCTCCCCTTCTTTCTTATTCCCTTGCGACAGTATTCCGGGCTTATTTGTTATCAGCCGCGTGGCCGCTTAGGATGCATCTTGCTTTTGGTACTGTGCAATGCCCTTGCGCTGATCCGTACGCGCGTCGTCGTGTGATGCTTTATTATATTCATGGTCGGATGGGCCATGTGGGGTCGCACACACACACACACAGACACACACACACAAACACACACAAACAAACGAACAAACAAACAAACACACACATACCGCCTGTATCAGTCTCCCTCGCCTCGCTTTCTGTCCTCGCCCCTTCCCCTTTTCCGCCTCGTCCTCTCTTCCTCCTCTTCCTCCTCCTCGTCCTCCGTCTTGTGACGTTTTTGTGGCTGACCGGGTGCTCCTCCAAAGCGTGCTGCGGGGCAGCACTGCCTGAGCGGTTTGCAGTCTGAGAGATCGATGAGTCATCGTTGATGGGAGAAAACCATGATTGCCAAAACGTAACAGTCAGGTTACCTCGTGGCGTTGAAGTTCAGAGAACTCTTTTGGAACGATTCAAGATGTTCACACGATTGTCCCCCAACGGGGGCGCCCTTTGTACGGGCCTACGAAGAGGAATCTTGGAGGGAGGGTGTATTTCACCATCGTTGATGAAGATTGGGTTTGCACTGGTCCTCCTCCTCCTCCTTCTCTTCCTCCTCCTCCTCCTCCTCCTCCTCCTCCTCCCCCTCCTCCTCCTCCTCCTCCTCCTCCTCCTCCTCCTCCCCCTCCTCCCCCTCCTCCTCCTCATCTCGCGCCTTGCCCCACCCCTTCTCTTCCCCGCCCCCTTCCCGCCACCCCCCTCCCTCCCTCCCTTTTCCCCCTCCCGCCCTCTCCCTCCCCTTCCCCCCGCTCCCTCCCTCCTCCCTGTCCCAGACATCCGACGTCGCGCTTTTGGTCGCAGCGTGGTTCCCAAGAGGTGCGGGCCCCCTCCCGGGGACCTGCGGCCCCCGGCCCAGGAAGGCCTTGCAGAGGCAGAAAATGGTCAAACGTCGCTTGTCGTACCTCCTGCGCAGCGCAAAGGGGTCTTGCTTCTGGGGCATAACTCGGGCCTCTGGCAGCCGTGCGGGGCGATCAGGGCGCCCCCGGAACGCTCTCGACGAGGCGCAGCTGCTGGAAGGCAGCCTGAGGCCAGAAAAGTTTCAATCACTGGAAAACGTCCGACGACGTATGTCAGGATGTCAGGGTCCCCCCCCCCTGCCACCCACGAGGGGCCGCCGGCAGCCCCCTGTGGCGCCCGGCGGCGGTGCGGTCCCCTGCGATGCCGTGGGTGGCGGCCGCGCCCGCTCTCTGGAAGAGAAGACCCTCAGACCGAACGTTGCCCCACCACTGTAACATCGCGAACAATCACGACCGCAGCCCTACAGGCCCCACTTCTCTGCTGCATGTCTCGAGCCAGGTCGACCTGCGCGGGTCCTGGGGCCCGAAGCCAGGCGACAACGTCGGTCGTGACAAAGTAGCAGCGCCAGGATCTGAGGTGAAGGGTATCGTTGACACGCCGCTGTCGGGAGCCTGTCAGCGTGCTACGCCTGCGTGTTTCTTCGGCATCAGCACGCTGACGGGTTCTCCACGGCAGCGCGGTGTTTATCTTGTTTTTGCTCCCAGAGAGGTCTCGGGGGGGGCGGGCTGGTGCGGGGAGGGCGGGGGTCAGGAGGGAAACAAGCACAAACACAATTAATCGTCGAGTTCCAAGATTGGGGGATACAAAACCCAGAAAATATAGGGACATCTTGTTATTTGTGTGTATGTTTTTGTGTGTCCCAGGGCCCCTTCATGGGGGACGAGCAGTGGAAGGGGCGCAGCCTTGTGCCAGCAGATATGCTACATGGTCGGCCAGAGGGGGCGGACGCTGGGGTCAGGGGCAACTTTAGGGGGGGGGGCAGGCTCAGAAGGAGATGCATCGACCCCCAGTCGCCCATTCTCACGCAGTGGCGAAGCGTCTTGGCGTGCCTTAGGTCTACCCAAGAATATCTAAGAACCGCTTGTGGTCTCCACGAAATGTTCTTAGACCATTTCTGGCCGAGACCGTCTTGTTTTAGCACATCGGGCTTACGTTCTAAGAACATTGTGTTTGTTCTTAGAGCATTTCTTGGTTCTAAGAACATGTCGTGGTAGGCCTATAGAAATGCCGGGACGGTCGGCCCCTGCTCAAAATTCATCGCCGATAGGGGTGTGATAGCCCACCTCGCCCAGGGCCGTGCGGATCTTCTGACGCGGCCTATCGCCGATCTATCGGCGATGTCTCGCCGATTCCAGGTCGATGTTTCCCCCCCCCCCCCGAGCTGGTCCCCCCCTAACGCAGCCCCTCGCTGGAGGGGGAGAGGAGGGGGAGGTTTGCATGGGAGAGGGCGGAGGGAAGGCCAGATGGGAGTGGGTTGGAGGGCAGGAGGGGCGACTCAACAAAGCGAGATTACACGCCTCTCACGGCAGAGAGAGCCCACCATCCCCACTTCAACAGGGTCTCGGATGAAGACCGCCTGCCGAGGTGGTGGGGGGGAAGATGGGGGAGGGGCAATCACCTTGATCCTGATATCCGCCCGTTGTGAAAGAATCGCGACGTACTTCTTTTTGTTGTTTTTGAATGTTTCGGTTTCCGAAGGCATTTGCCGGACACCGGGCCCGTCAAAAGACGATTCGGGATGAAAAGGTTCCAGAAAGGGGTCAAGACTTCTGGGGAGCCACGTTGGGATTTACAGCCACGACGTCAGATGTCTGGGTACGCTTGTAAGACGGTCTGGATGTGTGGAGGGGGCGGGGAAGGACTCCGAACGAGCAACATACACCTCGAGGGGAGGAGCTGATCTCGAAGGTTCATCCCCTGTTGCAAGGGGGTGGCAGCGACGGAACGGAAGTGCATTGATCCAGCCGGCGAGATGGAGACGTAGGTCAGCCCTATCAGGGTCAGCCAGCTCGCAAGACCTCTCATGATCCTGTGCCGGCTGACCCTGGCTTGCCCGCCGCTTCAGGCTGAAGCAGATGCTTCTGCATGTGTATGTTTCTTCGATGATCGTAGCAGTCATACTTCAGGTGGGAAAGAAACACACAGACACGATTAATCGTCGATTCCCCGGAAGGTATGCGAAAATATGGGAAGTGGGGGGAAGACAAAAACCCAGAAAACATGTGAAAGTACAGGGAATCCTGTCATTTGTGTGTACTTCTTTGTGTGTCCCAGGGCCCCTTCAATACTGCGAAGGCGAAGCAGGGGAGCCATCATCGCACCGGGATGGGCCCCCGCCAGGCGGTGCCGCCCACGGCGCCGCCGCGGGTGCACCTCTGCATCGCGGGTGCCTCCCGCACCCGCTGCCACCGCCGTCCCTCTGCCACTGCCGCCTCTGCTGCTGTTGGCACTGGCCTTAAGTCGGGCCTGCCCCTCTACAGGGGGAATATTCCAAAAATAGGCAAAAAATAGTCTGGGGACGATTTTTCGAGCATGTCTGGACATCTGTTGAGTATTTTTTGAGTGCTTTTTATTTTTCATCGAAAATCCCCCTGTAGGGGGACAGGCCCGATCTAATACTGGCCCTGTCGCTTGTGCCCTGACATCCTCGTAGAACACAAAAAACACGATCGGTTTCTGGGGGCCCTTGCTGGGCCCCAGGGCCGTCAAACACGATTGGTTTCCCAGAGGTCTGGGCCCCCTCCCGGGCACCAGCTGTCCAGTCCCGGTTCCGGGGTCCCGTGAGGGCCCCTGGAGGCGGAACGTGATCATCAAGCTCCCGTCGTGACTTCTGCTACGACGCGAGGCGAGGGTGCCAGGGAAGCTTGGGTCGGCGTCCTAGGGCCGAGGCCCCACATCATGCCCCCCCCCTCGTCCAGTGCTGTGCCCCCCCGCTCCCCCCCCGCTTCACTTCTGTTCTTGTTCAAGGCTTCTGATGTTCGAGCCTACTTCAGCCTTGATCACCAGAAAGAATTTCGACCAGCAAGAAAGCACCGAAGCTCGAAGGTTTTCACGTATCGGGCGCTGGGAGACTCGCCCGACACCGTTTCGACACTGTTTCCACTCTGTTTCACACTTTTCCCGGTGCTCGAAATTATTTCTGGGATGTGGTCCTTCAGTACGATGGAAGCAACGTAATTCAAGTGGGGCCCCGCGCGTCCGCCGCACTCACCTCCCTGAGCGGTCCTGGGCGCAGCCGCGCTGGGCCTGGAGACCATCGGGCCGACGTGCCCTCCCCCCCGCCCCATGGGGTGCCGCACGGTTGGCTCGCCGTGTGGGCGCAAGGCAAACAAGAAAGAGGGGCGGGGGGGGCCCCCACCCTCGCCAGGACGCGGAAGCAGGGACCGTGTGGGGTTCGGGAGGGGCTCTGGTTCCGGGGCCGTTCCTGCGTGCTGGGTCGGGGAACCCATGCGGGCCGGGGCTGGCCGCGGCCGGAGAAGCTCCTTCGTTCCTTGTTTGGCGTTCCCCACAGCAGCACGATGGCCCTGGAAGTATAAGACTACAGTACCGCTGGCCCCGATCTCACATGTCATCCGTGACCTAACTGAGACAGGCAAAATTTTGAGCATGTAGGTGGGCTCGCTTGATCTGTTTGCGACAGGGTACCCTATCCCTAATGTGTGTCCTTCCTAGCTTGGGTCCCGTCCCAAAGGGTCAAGGGTACTTCCAGTGCTTTTCAACAAAGGGGGGGCGAGGGAGCTCTACTACTTAGGCTACGAAGGGGGGCCGAAGGGTGTCGGTTCCGGCCAGCCGGATCCGAGCTGGTTCTGATGGTCTGACGATCTGCTGCGGCGTGATGCTCAGAAAAGGAAAAGGTACCCATACCTCTACCCCCTCGCCCGTTTTCCCCCTTTTGGGCCTCCTGGGAGGCCCTCGTCGCCACCGCTGGATTCGCTTCTAAATCCTGGTCAGAACGCACCTCGGAAAAGGTCCGGGGAGTATCGGTATCGGTACCTTTTGGTTTCCCCAGCTGCGTGCATGGCGTTGCTGTGCATCCTGGCGCGGCTGATCCGATTCGATTTTGTCTTCATGCCGATGCAGCTCGATCCGACGCTCGCTCCGATTCGTCCGATCTCCCGGTTCGACACTGACCGATCTTGTTGCTCCCAGGGGCTCCAAGAGGGCCACAAGAGATCCCGAGAGGCCCCGGGTGGCACCGAAGAGGCCTCCCCGGAATCATACAGACACAGTTGGGGGTGGAAAGTGCACCCGCTCGAGGAAGTTCCCAACAGTGCGTGCCATTGGCGTTGGTTGGTCCAAGTTGTCTGTCGCCTATTCCCTCTGAAGCGTGCGCGTTTGACCAACGTGTCTTCCTGCTATTTGTTTCGCTCACACTGTTCGTCTACTTCGCAATCCCATGCTGGTTTCATGTAATCCCGCTGCGGTCCACAGCTCCTGATCGGCCTTTTCGCTAGCAAGACGTGCGTTGCGGAGCGTTGGAGCTTGCGTCGGGGGCAGGTGGATTAATAGATGTGCAGCGAGTCGCACCAGGCACTGCCAGACACCTGCCAGCCGATTCCGCAGTATCCCTCCAATATTTGCCTGTACGGCCGCCCGGCCCCCCAAGACGGCGTCAGGCTCACCACCCCGCCCCACCCAACCGACCCGAAGATCAATCCAAAGAACCCCAGGGCACTGATAGGCATCGCGACGTTGGATTGGTTTTTGCGTCTGGTTGCTTTCGACAGATGGCCAGGGCAGTGCTGGTTGGATGGGGAACATGGGAATGAGGAGGAGGATAATATTTCAACCCCAAAGGGGGAGGGAAGGAGGGGGAGGGGGATGGATGGGCAAGATGGGCTTGGGGCAGCGAGGGAGGGAGGCGGAGGGAGAGGAGGAGGAGGAGGAGGAGGAGGAGGACCAGTGTAAACCAAAGAGTCATCAACGATGTTGGAATGAACCCTCCCTCCAAGCTCCCTCTTCGCAGGCCCCTACAACGGTTCATTCCCCTCGTTGGAAGACAACCGTTTGAAGATCCTGAAGTGTGCCAAAACATTGCTCTCGGGAGTTCAACGCCACGTACCAACCTGACTGCTGCGTCTTGATGATATGGAATCGTGCCATAATGTTTCTTTTGGATTTCAACGCAGCGAATCAACATAACTGTTGCACCCGCGTAATCCTGAACCCGTCCAAAACATTATTTCTGCTACGCTGATCATAGGAACCCGTGAAATTCTTGCAATTTGTTGAAAACGAATCTGCGCGGCGCTAATGCGAGAGCCACATTTTGAAAAGGAACCGCCCTCAATCCGCGAAGCTCTTGCAAATGTTTAAACGAATGTGCTCGGCGCTGAGCCGAGAGCCACATGTTGAAAAGGAACCGCCTT